TGTATTTTTGGGAATTTATGCAGTAGGTGTTATTTTCCATAAAATATGGTTATTTTGACCCAGTGTACACAAAACAGGTTTGACTTTAAAAATATTCCCTAGTGCGTATCTGGAATACAAGTTTAGTGTGAACAATCATTAACAAATAGTAAGATTTGGTGAAGTGTACGAACAAAAAGGGTCAAAACAACCACATTTTTCACCGCATAGTGACTAAATTAACCCATAATTGGTGCAATTTTGTCCTAGAAGCCAATTTAGTTAGTGTGTATATGGTATTTAAATGGGATATGAACAATCAGTAACATTTAACCGTATTAGGTTAAGTAAAATATCAAAAAGGGTCAAAAACAACCAGGTCTCCACCCCATGGGGACCAAATTAACCCAGTATGCATTGGTGCGATTGTGTCCCAAAAGCCAATTTAGTTAATTTTTAATGCATTTGTGTTTTTTCTTCTTAAGTTGAATTGACAGTTAACACTTCCTCTCTGCGCCCAATCGCAGCTCGTCTGGCTGCAGCCTCCACGAGCTGTCTCTGCACACAGGGGGTCGTCTTGCACGCTGCACCCGGGATGTGCCCCCTGTACCCTGCAGAGCTTCTGAGGTGAGGGAGGGGTCTGTCTGAGTGAGACTCATCCACTGCTGACTCATCTCACACACACACACGGGCAAGTGTCTCCCCTCCCTCTCGCTTTCACTCTCTCGCACTCTGGAGAGGCAGCGGAGGCTGAGGACTCGGGGATGGCGGCCAGTGGGAGCCGTCAGGCAGTGGTAATCTGACTGGATTACCAACCAGGTGGAAACATTCAGCCTCTCGACTGCCCCTAACTCCCCCTACTCTCCCCCTCCTCCTGCTCTACTCCATTCATCTATCATTTACATGCTCATAATATCTTTTCATCCTTTTATTTCCTTCTTTCTTTCTTGTGTATGGCCTTTAACATAATCAAAACCCTACACATCTGGATCTGCAATACATACCTCAGTGTTTCTAAGGGTATAAGCACACACACAGTAGCTCGCAAATTCACACACACACATTATCTTTTCTCTCTGCGTCATGCAAGTTGTTTGTGTGTGAAGGTGTGTGCAGGACAGGTAGGAGGGTGAAGGGGCGTGTCTCATCACGGCTGCCAGTGACGATCAAAGCCAAAGTCGAGAAACTTCCAAGAGAAGAGACACATTACTGACAGCCTCATGATGAATGGACGGGGCGGCTGCATGTCAAAGACACACACACAGCTACACACATTTATAGCTAAGAATTGCAGAATTTAGCCACAAGATCTACACGAGAAGGAATGAGGAAGAACAAGAAGAACAAGAAGAACAAGAAGAAGTAAAAGGAGAAGAAGAAAAGAAGGAGGAAAATTGTCAAAGAGGAAGATTAAGAGAAAAGAAGAAGCGGAGAGGGGTTATCTAGTCCAACCAAAACATTCTGATTATGGTTTATTACTTTTTCAAAGCACAAAACACAAGCAGCTTAAGATATAAATCCTTTGAGGGCTCTGTGTGTGTATGTGTGTGTGTGTGTGTGTGTGTGTGTGTGTGTGTGTGTGTGTGTGTGTGTGTGTGTACAGCTGTGCATGTGTGCTCACATGTGACATGAATGGGTGCTCTTTCTGTCTGTATTACTAGGTCACACACACACACTCTCTCACACATACACACACTCTCGTGTAAACAAAAACCGTCTGCTGTCTGGGAAGTAACACACCTGTTCAATGACAAGCTTTGCCACGCCCTCTATAATATGGCACACCTGTGCTACTGCAGGCTAAACCTAACCTTAATCACACACACACACACACACACACACACACACACACACACACACACACACACACACACACACACACACACACACACACTTGCACAACTGCTGCCCAGGGGCTAACATCACAGAAACGGGGAAGAAGAGGGAGACTGGAATAAAAGCAAGGCAGCGAAACAGGGAGGGGAAGGAGAGACAAAGGCTCTCCCACTGCTGCTATCAGTAATCTAAACGCCTGTGTAATATCATTGTGGGCTTTTATCAAACGGGGGCTGAATCTTATGGCGTTGGTATGCGTCTGTCATTCCATCACCTTGTCAAGCGCGACCATATTCAAGCAGACACCATGCTGATCTAAATAAGAGGCTTCGGCAAATTGATGGATTGCAGATTTTTCCGGGATATGAAGAAACAGGGGGAATGAGCTTCTTTATTTTGTACTTTGAATTACTGTACCGGTTGGGTCTTGAAAAAAAATGGTGTCTCTTTCCAAAGATCTGAAACAAACCCCCCCCCCCCCCCTCTCCTCCTGGCCACATCATATCTACCCCCTGCGCCGAGGCCTAGGGCCAGGCATACAGCTTTCTGAATCTCTAAGGAGGGGGGCAAGCACAAAGGTAACCCCCATCCTAACCTCCCAGCAAACACACACACACGTAACCCAACCCGATCCCAACCCCCCATCCCAAAACAACAATCCTCTATGCCCATCATGTCAGTCAAAACCCCATCAGGGACATGCATGGAGAGTCTGGATATCTGGAATCTCAATACAGTGTCATGCACCTTGAGACCCAGCGAGAGGCCCTCTTGAATATATTTCAATAGCATTATCACCCTGCATTAGTACGCTTTTTCTCCCTTTCACAGAATCATCCTTATATTGGACCATAATATATGTCAGCGGGTTGTAATATCAGTCAAATCGGAGCTTTTTAAATCGTTATGCAAGTTAGATTTGTTAAAACAACCCGTAAGAGGTTTAAAACAGGCGAAATCACTTCAGTTGAATTCAAAAGAGACATACAGCTGAATGCCTCGTGAAATATACAAAATATTCTATTCATATTAAATAAATTATACAGTTTGAATTATGGTGTATTATATTTTAATATCATTTAGGACTGTAATTATGTAAATTATATAATGTGTGTCCTTCCATGATACATACATGTAATTCTGGATAATACATTTACAATAACACATTTCTACCTGAAGACGATTAAATATGTTACATTTTAGGATATATTCGAGAAATTACTCAATTATGGAAAATAATACATTTAAATCTTGTGCTATTAGTCCTATATATATTGTAATTTCATAATAGAAAGTAAAAGCATATAAATACATATGAAATTACACATGTGCTTTTCAGTAAAGAGACTTTTGGAGCATATGGACATTTCTAAAGACAAACCAAGCTAATAATAATATTAATCAGCCTTTTCTACATGTGGAGACCAGCAGCAGCACGTTAAATGTCAAACTGGTTCAGTTTATATTTCTGCAAACACTGCGCTGAGCTTAATGTGTTGTAATGTCAGAGTCAGAATGAGGTTTATTGCCAAGTTCTCACTTACAGGGAATTGTCTGTGGTGCATACAATAAGCATATTAAGAGGGAATAAAATAATACAAAGCATGGTACTAAAAAGGTCACGAACATAAATATAGATTTGAATATTACAATGGGATTATGGAAAAGATACAATAAAAAGGACTATATGACAGTTTAGTGCCAGGTGTGCCCAAATGTTTAGATAGTCCGGACATGTGGACACTTTTGCATTTGGTTTGAACATTTTACTGGACGTTTTTCGCTGTTGTGTAAAACTAATGAATATGCAAATGAGTGCAGACAGAGGATCCTGCACGTCTATTTAAAGAAGACGCTGCATTTGCAAATGATAATTAATGGGATTTCTCATCGGCCACGTTTACATTCATCCAGTGAGTCCAGTTTATAGACACTGTATGATTCCGAGCAGAGGCTTTCTTTCTTTCTCTCTCTCCTCTCACACACACACACACGCACACACACACACACACACACACACACACACACACACACACACACACACACACCACACACACACACACACACACACACACACACACACACACACACACACGCCCACCACCCCCTCCCCTATTGAGACAGGATACCAAAGCTACTTGTTAAATCTAATGCATGCACTGTCAACCCATTCGCACCCCGTCACGTCCCCAGCTCAATATAGAAACCGGATTTTCTGGTATTACGCGCACCTCCATTAGCCAGAGCTCCACTCCTTCCAACAACACGACCCCCAGTTTGTGACCAGTACAAACCAGCATGTGCCCCCTCAAACCCCACCAAGCTCCTGGAGCCTCACATGAAGGAAGAATCGTTGAAATTGCAGCTAATAGTGTTTAATTTATTGTTTAATGGGAAATATAAGCAGTGGAATTACCCAATTCTAATTAATTGCTTAAAATGGCAATGATTAGTACTTTACTAATTGATGAAACCATATAAATCTATGACAAGATTATGCTATACTGGAAACGCCTAATAATCCCTGCAGTGTTATAAAGACGAATAATCCTGATATTTCTCAAAATCATGAGAGGTTTAAAGTGTAAAACAACAAAAGGAGGTGTAGCGTAAAATGTAAATTAATCTAATTTGCCAAGTTTCTGTAAGAATGGGATGTCCCACCGTGTTTCATGTTTTGCTTTTACGTTTGGCTGAAACACTAGAATTATATTTATTTTCATATAAAGCAGCTATGTCATTAATAATTATTTAAATAAACAAAAACTCATGCGTATTTGTTGCACGTTTCTAAATTCCCACAAATTCTGAGCGAGTTCCTTTCCTTACTTTACTTTCAATACACTGTTATCTGGCTGCTATACGTCTTCGTTTCTACACTGATTTTATAATTTAAAAACTAACTGTACTTATTGTTGTCCACCTTGATGGGTACTTTTGTAAATGATGTCTCTAATATGTTATGCCTGCCTCTTAATTATTATGTTTGCCTCTTTACTTTTGCTAACACCATACATTCGTGGGACTAATAAAGGTATTATGATTGCAGTAAATGAGTTCGTCCAAAAAAGCTTTCCCAAGTTTGTAATATGGAGAATATGCTTCAGACAAGAGAGAGAAACTGCATTTTATTACACACACACTTTGTCATTAAATATATCAGAAGAGCCGCGTTTAAAACTGACCTGAATGCGGACCCATGGAGAGGTGCGATGAGTAGTATTTCCCGGGCTGGAAGTGAGCGGGGTGCTGCACCGAGCCGTGGCCGCCTGACGCCATCCGAGAAGCGGCGCTGTGAACCAACGCGCTCCGCTCCGTCAGGAGGTGGTGCGGAGGAGCGAAATCTCGGCTTTCCATCCCCGGCGAGAAGCGATAAATCCCAAATCCCAAAGTAAAATCCGGAGGCACCGAAGGTCTCAGGCAACCCAGATGCAAAATAATCCCTTTTTATGAACTTCGGGCTCCCCTCGCATTCAGCGCAGTTTTAGCTTTGCAGGGTAGACACCGAGTCCCCGTCATGTCCTACAAAAGAGAGAGCAGGAGACACGTCAAAGCGCTGACAATAATGAGCCAACCAGGGAGAGCTGAAAGGCTGAGCTGAGAGACAGTCGCTGTTCATGTTTAGACAAACAAAAAGCATTCATATCTTACTAAAACGTTTCCACATTATTCTTACTTCATTGTCCTCTATGTGTCATTTAAAAGGCGATTTATACCAGGGCAGGAAGGTGCGTAAAGTCTGTCCTGCAGATAGAAAGGTGGTTGAACCGAGTTTATGTGGATTTGCTCTGCACCTCATCGATGGCCCCAACATAGAAGGCTCTGCCCCCCCCCCCCTTTCCCCCTCATTCTGTGACCAAACACGATGCAAATAACATACACGGGGGCTTTTCTTTATCAGCGAAAAGAATGGAAATGGAAGGAGGAGATTTGGCTCAGGTACAAACAAATGGTGTATATACAGTATAAGAGTTCACACACGAAAAAAGCCTCGATGAAGGACAAGTTGTTAAGTCTTTAGACTGAACAAGCACTGGTCATAAACAAGCTGGACCTCGGGGGCTCTTGCACTAAAATATGAAGAAAACCAATACTTCTGGGCAAGCATGCACACAAAAAACCTTAAATTATGGTGACTAATATCTATTCCCAAACCTCAGTCCCCATAGTGCCAAAAACCCAGAAACAAAACACACACGTTTCCGCTATGATTAATGGATGTTGTTGTTTATGTAAATTTGATTTCTTTGCTAATTCAGTTGTCATAAAACGTGATCATTTAACACTATAGAGGATATTTAAAGAAAAAAAGGGGCTATAAAACATAGGATTTATACAAGATCTCACATGTTGGATCAATGTTGTTTGACGTATAGCTTTTAGAAATTCAATCTGACGTCTTTTTACACAAACTTGTTTCCCCTTTATTGTTTGGCGTTTTTATAGAGGGATTCCTATTTGCGGTGTTGCTTATTAATGAAAATGGTGATAAAACAGCTATTTCTGTCAATTCCTACGGGGGTCAGCAGCTTTGCCCCCCCCCCCCCCCCCTCCTCGCAATGGCACACACCATGCATCTCTGCTGCACACATACATACAGTACAGGCTACAGTGTAATCACAAACACAAATCACATCACCTTTATGCTCCAGTGCGAAAGAGCGAGGCAGTAAACAGTGAAATAGACTAGGAAATCATCGACTTTATATGTATGCCTTATAGCCCAGGTCATTTACTTAAATAGGGCTCCACGTGACGCGCAGATAGTGCCTGCATCCACCAAAAACACACCTCAGCAGTGCATCTATTAGGCCTCTCAATGCATGGCACGTCCATAGATGCTGATAGCACCTCCCAGGAATCAACGATAAAGGAACAAAGAAAATATCAAATGCTCTGGTGGACTTATGAAGTGCAGAGGAATATAGGAGCTCGGATATTCAAGTCTCCTTTACGCACACACTTTCACAGGCTCAAGGATTCCCAACTTGTTCTACATTTACTTGCAACATTCTCTGCAACATACAGCTGATTGTCATTTTTTGATAGTTCCCCTGCATTACCTGGACTTGTAACCTAATCTTGCGCTATTTTATCTCTAATCAGTTTCTTCTTGCACTATTTTTATTCTTTAAAACATGTGGTGTATGTATTTTATATTAATCTTGCATTGTTGGAGTAGCATGGGGACTTTCATGGCCATAACTACATGCATATGACAATAAAGCCTTAGAATCTTCAATCCATTCAAGTCTTCTTTACGCACACACACACTTCCACAGGCTGAAGGACTCCCAACTTTCAGGAATTGTGTTTTGAGGAGGGAAACATTTCCAGAGTTCAGCAGCTCTGCGCACAAACACTCTCAGGACAAAACACCCAATGCATGCACCTTTTTTAAATGCTTCTCTAAATGATATATGCACGTATTTAAATAATGTAATTCCCCTTTTGCTTGTGAGCACCACCTTATCGTTTGTGACCACAGCCAGAGAAGGAATGAGGGAGAACCGAGAGGCTATACTGCAAAGCGCACAGGGGGAAGGCAAAATGGACTCTCTCCTGTCCCCTCGGCTGGGAGAAACAATGGCCCCTCTCCACGGGACATCAATCATAAACCACTCTCGGCTGACATTTGTCTATACATTTTTTAATTTTCAGGCCGTAAACACACGTCTTCGGTGTTTACATTCCACGTCAACGGAGAGCCACTCAGGCTACATTTAACAACCCGAATCTAAATCCCGTGTTATCGCTGGCCACGCAAACAAAACGACGTGAGCAGATCGCGCGTAACAGTTTGGGGGGTAGGGGGGCATTTGAATCTACTGTAGTGTGTGTGCGCGTATGTGTGTGGAAGGCATTCAGACTTCCTTCCACTTCACCTAGACTCCCCCAAAGCCCATACACACACCGAAACACGCACACACACACACACTTCCCAAACACGCACACACACCCACCAGCACTGCTGCCCCTCAGGGTCAAACTATCGCCAGACGAAAAAAATCCTCTCCACAAAAGTGACCAATACTCGCCAAAATGACATCACATGAACTCAACACCAACGCCAGTAATTCTGCAATCAATTGTATATTTCAGATATCGCGTTGTTTTCAAACCAAAAATTCGTGTTTTGTACAATTTAGAGTGAAATCATAAACGCGTGGACCTTTGGACAAAAGATGACAGGTATTTTTAAAAAAAAGGGGCATTTATTTTTTAAGTGGCACTGGTTCAGAGGACAAGTCATTGCCTTCAACAATTTTGCAATAAAGTAAAGTCACAGGGAATAAGTGAGACAGTAAATCCGGATGTTCAGAGGCCGGCTAAACAGGAGAGACAAGCCCGGCCGAGGCGAGGACAGCCCGGCGTCTGCTGCCTCCATGCCGGGGGAGGAGGGGGGAGGCAGGGCTGCAGTTTACAATAAAACTGCCCCGTCTGCTTCCTGCCCAGAACATAAGAAACTAACAAAGAATAATCTACAATTTAGCATATTTAAAACAAAAAACATGAGGAGGTTTAATGTAAAGCGAGTGGTGTTGAATAGTCCTCTGAATGAATCGGAAACACACAAGAGTAATTCGGCTGTGAAGAGGTCAAATCAGAAAGTGACACACTGGACAGAATCCGAAAAATAAATCCTTCATAATACTGTATTTACTGTAATACTGTAAAATCACAAGATGTGTTGCTTTACTGCAAACACACTGGCTGAAGGATGTCTTTAGATTATTCTGATGGCAGTCATACCAGCTTGCATTTCTCCAAAGGTATGACAGTGAATAATAATGGAGTAAAAATCAATTTAAATAAAACTGGGAGTTTTTAGATAATCCTCTCACACACGAGAACCAAAATGTATATCCAGCAGCACAATCACTAAAGATTATATAAAACACTGAGCTGTAAAATAATGTTCCTCACTTACTGGTAAGTTATATCCAAGGCGAGTCGGTTATATTAAAAATGAAAGAAAAAGTATAAAAATATTCAAAGTGAAAATCCCCGAATCGCAGAGATGAAACATGTGGGATTGATTACATCCTCTGTGCAGACTGTGTGGAGGTATGGGAGAGACGCATCGTAGAAGTTCAGGCTTGTAGTGAAGCGAGGCTAGTGTATGCAGCCCGAGACTCAGACAGGAGGGGGGAGGGGGGAGGGAGGAGGGGGGGGGAGGAGGATGGGGAGGGGTGAGAGCGCGGGCCTATTGGTTTGAGAACGACAATGTGAAAGCGTGCCCGTGAGGCGCCCCCTCCACCCTCCTCCCGTCCAGAGGTGCGGAGTAACTAAGTATTTACTATAGCCTACTGTACTTAAGGACAGTTCTGAGTTTACTTACTTGAGTGTTTCCATTTTATTCTACTTTATAATTTTAGATTAAAATGTTATACTCAAAATCTGACTTCAGGAAAAAGCAGAGTGCTAAATTCTCAGGTTTTTTTTGCAAAAGTAAAAGCTATTTTTGACGTATACTAGTATAGGCTATTTCCATGTTATTCTACAAATACTTTTACTCCACTACATTTAAAAAAGGGAAATGTATTTTACATTTTAAGTTAATAGTTACTTCACAGCATGAGTAAAAGTAGCAATAATTTTTTTTAAATATTCTGTTACAATTGAAATTCTTTCATTCAAAATCTGTGGTGTAAAGTAACTAAGTACATTTACTTAAGTGCTGTACTCAAGTACACTTTTGAGGTACTTAAGATGAATATCTCCAGTTTATTCTACTTTCTACTTCTATTACACTACATTAAAAAAGGGAAATAATGTAATTTTTACTCCACTACAGTTATTTTATATATTTAATTAGTTTGCAATAAGACCCCTTTAGTAAAACACTACTTGGTGCACCAATATTATGTAAATGTCATATACATATAATCATACACACATAAAGGCACAATGTTTGCTTTTTATATTTGACTATGTTGCTGATAATACGCTATACTTTTACTCAAGTAAGATTTGAATGCAGGACTTTTACTTGTAATGAAGTATTTTGCCCACAATGTCATTGTAAATAATGTAACCATGTAAATAAGGCATTCACTTGGTCACTACAACATGATCTGCAACATTAGCTTACTATATTATTTGTACATGTCATAGTTTACTTCCCCTGTATTGCAGATTGGTCTTGCAACATAAGCACTATTTTTATTTGATTCTCTATTTCATCTTGTACTATTTGTTATTGTTTTTAAAATGTGTTTTATGTCTAACATATATTTATGTTGCATTGTTGGAGGAGCCTTACGTTGTTCAATGTGGAAATGACAATAAAGCCTTTGAATCTTGGTACTTTTACTCAAATAAAGCATCTGAATACTTCTTCCACCACTGCCCCCACCTCAGCCTTTCCTACACACACACACACACACACACACACACACACACACACACACACACACACACACACACACACACACACACACACACACACACACACACACACACACACACACACACACACACACACACACACACACACACACACACACACACACACACAC